AGAAAATTTTCCTCCATGGTGTTAATTCTTTGTGTTCCCATTAGATGTCATTACCCTTGCCTAACACTTATAGCCTTTAAAGTTGCCTTATTCTATAAATTAAGATTCATAGATTAGTAGTTTTTAATTAATTGTTTTCAAGCTAGAATCATTAGCAGGATAAAAAGGAGGGAATAGTAGTAATAAGGAGAATAAAATCAGGGTCTTCTTCCAATTTTTCTTCAAATTTTTTCAAAGTCCAATTTCTTAAGAAAGATAAATCAAGTGAAGTTCAGCTTGGCAAAACTTAGTCCAACACTACTTGATCTTTTCTGTTTTCTATACAACCTTTGTAAGTACTAGTACTCACTCTATTAGCTGTTGGAGTACTTATTTTGTCTAAATATTTATGGTATTACTCATTTGTTATATTTTTATAATGATCCCTATTGTTTTCTTTATCCCATATGATTGTCCTGGAGCTAAAGAGGTAAATCCTGAAATTAAATGCAGAAACCAAGATTATATTGGGCAATAGCCCTTTGTTAAATAATACCCTGAAGAAGCCTGATTATATTCTAGTTGATATAATGATTTTAAACCTTATGATAACCCATGTTTTCAAAACTATACTCAGTGGGAATTAAACTTTGAAAGGATATCAATTTATAATAATGTCTACATAGACACGTGGCTGTTAAATGCAAATTTATCTATCCCTAGTTCCTCTGATTTTAAACAGGCCCTGTGTGCTCCCCGTGGTTACTTATTCTTTTGTGCAGGTTCAGTACAGATGACCCCTACCCTAAATATTTTCCTTATCCATAGGCCACACCATGCTTAGATAGTTGGAGAATAAAAGGTCAAGTTACATTGAGAATCTTGGGAATTCCTCTAGATATTCACACCCATAATAAAAGTCTACGTTGGACCAGTAGAGTTAAAATTTAATGTCTTTACCCCAACATAGCCTAATATTTGCCAGCAATCCTGTTGCTGACTACTCTGGATGGGACTGGACTTTTTTGCAAGCAATCATTCCTTGGTTTGGTACAATACAATTAAAATAGTCTATCTAAATAGCTGACAATGTTGCAGATGAAATGGCAGCACAACAATGATCCCTTAATTCATTAGTTAAAGTGGTACTTGATAATTGAATAACTTTAGATTTCTTACTAGCACAGCAGGTGGACTATGTGCCATTGCCAACACCTCATACTGCTCCTGGATACACATTACAGGAGAAGTACATCAAGACCTTAAGAAGATTCATCAAAAAGCTGCTTGGTTATACTCTATACCCTCTATAACTTTACCATCCTTTTCTGATATCTTCAGTTGGCTACCTAATAGTGTAGGTTCTTGGTTACAGTCTTTGTTGCAAACTGGGTTGATTATATTAACAACTATAATCCTTATTATTGGAATTACAAAATATAAGATGCACATCTGGAACTGGAAACCCCACTTCATCTCCTGCTCAGAGAAATATGTATTTCATCAATGTATTTGGGAACCCAAACTAGAGTAGCCTTATGACTTAGTCATTTGAAAGTAGGTCACGCTGTTCCTCCAATTTGGCCACACCCTATCCATTCCCCACACCAAGGTCACTGAAGATGGCTGCTCAGCAATAGTATGGTGAAGAAAACTGAGGCTGCCCCACTGCCAGAAAAACCATGGAGATGATGAGTTACTTCTTTGTGGGTGACATGAGACCAGCTGTCCCTAAAGATGAAAACTCCTCTACAGCAAGGTAAAAATATATACTGGTGTCTGGCTACTTCTATGGTGTAACATCTGGGGACTTAAATACTTACAGGTTCAAGTGGCCATTAAGGACAATTTAAAGTCGAGGCCATGCAGAAGTGAGTATGCCCATAAGTGTGATCAAAGGATGTTCTTCGAAATTTTTATCAAAACGAGGGAATAATAAAGGATAAAATCAAAACAGAGGCATCTGACCTATTTGTAAAATGACTGAGCTAACTCAGAGCTCAATGTAACCTTTCCCCCAGACTCTACCTATGTTGGAGCCCTG